GCTGAGGTACCGCGTTTCCCTGGCCCGGGGAGGGGCTGCGGGCCTGCAGCTCTGAGCAGGCAGTAACGCCGCTGCTCTTGCTGGAGAATATAACCAGGTATTTTACAATTACGAAAAATTTGTCACTTCTGCGGAGAAGCTCGATGGCTCTTCTCCACTAAAGCAAACATTAAGGTACAGGTGTCAGCTGTACAAACTATGCTGGAAATCTACTTGGCTATAAGGAGTAGAAAAGCATTATGAAGTATTTTCTTGTGAGGTTTTTTCTTAAAGGCATTAAGACACATAAAGAACAAATGACTAAAGGATCCGATCTTGGTGTGAAAACGTGCAGTGGGCAGAGTGCCAAGATAAAAAAAGAAATTATGAATCCACATAACGAATGTTCTGTGCCTGAGCAGCTCTGTGTGCTTCTGAGACAGATTATGTTGCTGAGAATGTGGCAGTGAGAAACGTGGAATAATTTGCTATAAAATGGATGTCCGTATCGGTACCCTTGCTGTGCATTTTATTTTAAAAACCTGGCGGTTTCTGCATGCATTACGCGCAACATAACACCAGGAGAAGTGTTGGGAGAAGAATGGTATGTACATTGCCAAAATGCCAATTCCCTGGAAAAAAATAGCATCGTGAGGCATCCCATATTTCAGTAATTCTATCTGAAACCTTCATCGTACTTCTCTCGAGTCATGGTGATATGTGTCACCTTCTGCAATTCACTCCTGGCTGTTTTTCTTTCTGCTTCGCCCTCATTTTCGCTTCCTATATGCCATCACTGTAATGCACCTTTCAAGGCTGACCTTGTATTTCCAGGAAAAAAGAAAAAAATCAGAGCGCAGTTGGCATTAATTTATTCTATTCCTCCCACCTCCTATTGCTCGTGGTTATTGCAGCAAGTGCCTTTTCTGGGTCCTGGCATGGGTTCTGTGCTGCTAATTGATAGTTAACTTGGCAACCAATTAACTCTTCCACTGCCAATATACTGCTTTTGGCCTCATTAACTGAGAGGCACAAGCACACGTGCGCAGCAGACTTCAAAAACTCACTTTGTTGGTGCAGATGGTTCTTCAATTTTATTTTAAGTCATAGCCAATATGGGGAGCCAGCCTTTCCTGCTTCTGGACAGTGGCCGGTGTTAATGGGATCTCTATTCATCAGAGATTCCAGCTGCTTCACTGCTGTGTAATGAGTTCAGTCTTGGTAATTTGAGGGAAAAAAATCTTTTTTCTCTTATAATGCGATGCCAAAAGCCAACAGGGGCCTTGAACTGGATCCATTTCCTCAAAAGTGTAATTACTTGCTTTTTCATATTGGCCTTTGGAACCCCAGAATATTTTTCTTCTGTGAAGCTCTTCTGATCTTCTGTGACCATGGGAAAGGCCATCCCCCCAGGTTAATGAGAAAGTAGCAGGAGAGTTTTTAGGTCAATAGCTAGAAGAGTTTTCTTTTCCTGAGAATTAAATTGGTAGTCTCACAGTGAACACAGTTCTGTATCTAAACCAATGAATAACTGGGTAGTTTCATTTTCTAAGTATCTACAGTACAATTTAGACATTTTCAGTATTCTGAGCTGAGTGCAACTGATTCGATTTTATATATTGCTTAGCTTTTTATACCAAATAACACGTGGCTGTGCTGCGTGCCTTCCAGATCGTGTTTGTCTTGCTGCAGCTCTCAGAAACGTTCATCTAGAGAATGTCAATGCACTGTCAGTACCAATTTTGTTTTGTTTGATATTGTGGTATCTGCCAGAATCATCCATCACAGTTCTTGTAGTTAAACCTCAGGGAAACAAGTAACAATAGGCCCTGTTGTTTAGATGCTGGGTGTTAGATGAGTCACAGAAACAACTAGTTAATTACTATTTTTGATAATGACGTATCATTTCATGATAATTTCAGAGAAGTCAGCGATGAAGTAGTCTGGTGCCCTGAATGATCTTTTAGGGCTGAAATTACAACAGTGGCTTTTGTGGCTTTGTTTTTTTAACTAAGGACTTTTTGTTCGCATACAGCGTAGAAGCTGTAGCGAACATATGGCAAGATGCAGGATTTCACAATATACCCTATTTCTCCTCATGGCACAAAATGGAGGGAAATTAGCTAAAGAAAATGACACCTGTGGCACGTGGTGGTGGTGATAGACTTGTCCATGAGATGTGAATGCCTTGATTCCAAGGCAGTTTTTGTGGTAAAAGTGCCTTAATTTTTTCCACCCGTCCTGTTTTCCCAGATGACAGAACCTGAGCACCCGCGGGGGTTTCGTTTCACACATGCCTTTCCCTTCCTAGCTGACACCCCCAGAAGACAACTATCACCTCACCTTCCCGTTACGTTTCTTCCCTTAAAACAACACCTGGAAGGGAAATAAATACCTTTGCTGGCACTCCTTGAGGAGAAAAACCTTCAAAATTTACAGGTTTGACGAGATACGGCTTTTTTTTTTAAGGCTGAATTAGGCGGGTTTAGGCGAGCGAACGGGCTCCCACGCCA